AGCTGTTTCCTCATGGGTTATTACCCAGCAGACTGGCCAGAGTCGAGCTGTTTCCTCATGGGTTATTACCCAGCAGACTGGCCAGAGTCGAGCTGTTTCCTCATGGGTTATTACCCAGCAGATTGCTCATTTTAATGGTGCCAAAAAGGCACCCAAATACAAATGGCCATTAACTATTTTTGAACCAAAAATAAATGAGAACTGGGTGTAAATTTGAGGTTTATTAATATTTTATTTGACTAATTAGCAATACTTATAGCCTTTAAGGTGCGACCACGTAAAACTCAACCTGAGGCAAACTTTTCTCTTTTTAAATTAAACTCAGTTACACCAGTGTTTTTCCAATTTATATTTAACAAAATATCACCCTGTGGGCCACATTGCTTGAGGACATGCAAAGTAAATTACTCTATTCGCTATAGTTTCTAGTCATATTGTTTAAAACAAATAAAAGTTCAGAGGAAAAAGGGATACATATGCATGTAAAACAAAATAAACAAACAAAATTCAAAATTGCAAAGTGAAATAGCTACAGAGCCTCTCAGCAGGACCTGGACAGAAAGTTACAGCTATGCTCTTCAGGGAAGGCTTTCCATCATCATCCTCATTCAACACCCCCACCCCCCAGGTGTTTCCACGCTGCCGCTACGCTAAAGGAGATCCAGCAGTTTCGAGCAGAGCCAGCCTACGTGTGACGACTATAATTGGGCACAGTAAACAACCGCATTGTAGAATCCAGCATAGATTCATTCTCTCAGAGGACTTCAGAACTATTTACAATACAAAGCAGGTGCTGACTGGGGGCAGGGAGTGTGGTGGAGCTCTATCAGAGGCGCTCAAAGTCACCACATCCACTCCTGAAGACTGACCTTCACAGCCTGCCATTGTGTGAACCAATGCACGCCAAGGCAGCAGTCCTGCTCCACGATGTGTGCAAAAAGCTGAACGTGGAAGGCTGCGGGTGAGCTGGGGCTGTAAGGTCACTTCACAGAAAAATTTCCCTTTCAAATACACTAAATAAGTCGGTCGATGCCCCGGTCTTGTGATACATGCCAAGGACTCCCGGACATCTCACCACACCTCCCCCGACTCCCTGCGTCTTACCCAAATCCTCCAACGTTGGCGGCCGCTGTACCCTCTCCGAAGACCTTGCCTCCAGTGGATCCCATGGGGCTGCTGAAGGACGGAGACGAGGCAAACGCCGAGGCTGGCCCGAACGCTGGTGAGCCCCCGAAGGCAGGCGGGCTGCCGAAAACTGGGGCGCTGCCGAAACCACCTGAGAGGGAAGAGAAGGGCGGGCAGGTCAGCCCTGAGAATGGGCCACGGCCTACCGCAGAGCTGCACATGAACACGCGTGTGCACAGTCCTGCTATGTGCTCAGCAGCTTGAAAAACATGCTCATTTGACTGTTTCCAGTTAAGATAGTACACCTTCACCTTCAATATCAAGAAGAAAGCATTTTGGGAACCAGATGCAACTGGCAGGGGTTGACACATAATCACACTTACACCAAAATAAGCACTAAGCAGCAAAACACAAATAGGGCAAAAGGGGATGATACTTCTAAATATATGGAAGCACTGAACTATCAACCAACATACAAAAATGAAGGGCCTTTAACCCTCTGGAACCGATTTAAGCTACGGTTTATGACACACGCAAACATTCGGCAAGATTACGAAGGGCATGGTGGAAAAAAGAAAACTGAAAATTTATTGAAGCAATCGACCACCACAACAGCTATATACACCATAAAATGCAGGATGTATTACTGGCGTGACTGCATCTCGCCCAACTGGCTAAGTATTTCCTTTGATACAATTAAACTTGTGATAAAATCCATAAGATGTACTGTGTGGTCCCTTAACCATCTGTTAAAGGTATAGCTACATTTAAAGATGTATAACTACAAGGGGGGAAAAAAAGCATTTTAATGCTCATTATAAGGTATTTGAAACATACAGTAGGAGCTTAGAAAACAGAAAGGTGATTGCAGAAGGCTTTATTAAAACCATAATAGGAAATAAAACCCAGGCCTAAAGCAAAGGTTAGCTGCCATCATGAAGGAGGGGCTTTAGGACCCAAGGGCTTCCATCTAACTGCAGGCAAGGCAAGGCAACCCCTTGTCAAGTGGGGAACCATGGCAAGAAGAATGGGCTCTGAAATTTCAGCCAGGCCCAGTGTCTCTACCGCGGTGAATAATTGATTAGGTTAATGTAATTGGACTGCAATCCTTGGACTGGGGCCATGTCGGGGGGGGGGGGGAGGGGGTACAGAAGCAGCATGTCAGAGGGGGGGGGGAGGGAGGGTTACTGCTTTAAAAACAGAGCAGGGGAGTGCTTGTTTAAAAAAAAAACTCTACATGTGAACAGCACTGCATGAACACGCGCGTGATGCTATTTACATAATTACGATCGATCTTCTCTAAGCCCGACAAATCCCACGCTTAGTAAAAGTCACGTGACCTTGCGAGGCTGAGAATACAGGGGGGAAAAAAAAAGCGAGACGTGTTCATGTCTCATTCACTGAAATCTGGAAAGTGTGTCGAGCGAGAGCCTAACGCTGTCATTTCTAGCCTGCGGGACGGCATGTCCGGCCCAGATGGACGGCTAGGGAGGCGCAATGAAAGGCACGCTTGGTGCCTTGCATGGCTTTGAAGTGCGCCGGTAGCATGTATGCCGAGCTGAGCTACAGGGCAGCGTGACGCATTTCCCACCGCAGGACACCAACACCTGTGTTCAGAGAGGCCTCTTCACACACAGGCATTTCCTCAGAAGACAGACACCCTGCTATATGATGCACGCACAGTCTGAGCAGCACAGTCAGCAAAGGAATTTTTCACTGTATTGTGAGCTGCGATGTACCACTTCACACAAATGGAATCACTCCCAAACACACACCAGCTTTGCAATAACTCAACCCCATGGTGAGCTGGAGTAAATGCATTACCAAGTGAAAACATGCTTTTTGAGAACATTAGGTAAAGCTGCTTCAAAACCCAATAAATCTTATTTGCACTAGTGGCAAATTCAAGAATTTTGAGTGCTATAAATTTTAAATTGGACACACATTTAATTTCTGGACGGTCACCATTAGTAACTACTAAATCTACTAGTGGTTGTATTTCTAACCTACTGGTAACGGAGCAGACAGCAAAGGGGACTGGGCAAAGTACTTAAAGCAAATGAAAGTCATTCCGGCTCAGGCAAGCAGCATGAACATACAGAAAAGCCACAAAGGATAAATGCAACAATTAAATGCTTTTGATGGACACACAAATTTAGTTACCCAGAAGTGGTCATAACACACTAAGGGGTTGATATAGAGACACTAATATCTGAGAGAATGTTTTTGGTCTGTCCAGAGAAAATTCACAAAGGCTGCAGCCCAGTCGCCACACAGCCCCTTAACCCAAACAGCTCCAATAAAATATCAGACATAACCTTGTAAAAACCAAGAGAGTGTAAATTTTTCTGTTGGAGCAGACACATGATCTTTCTTATCTGACGCTGAATATTATTTCATTTTGCAGGATATATGGCATCAGATAAAAGTTTGGACACACCTACCCAAAGGAAGGTTTTTTTGTACAATTCTCTACATTTTAGAGTAATTATAAAGACTATAAAATGATTATAAAAACTATAAAAACAAACAGAATTATCCAATTATGCACTGACCAAAAAAAGTATAAAAAAAAATTGTTTGGGGGGGGG